CAACATTGTTTGTTTGAATCACCGTGTTTTCTGTCACAGGATCTTCAGGTTTATTTTCATCTGACTGTGTATCAACACTTTGTTCTTCATTAGGTTTCTCTTCAGATTCTGTGTCTGTGGGAAATGAGTCCAGCCATTGTTGCACAGGACTGCTTCGCCTCATATCTTCAATGACTCCAGTGAGCCAACCTCGAACTTTCCTTTCTAATATAGATGAAACTGATTCATTAAAAGTATCTGTAAGTTAAATATTATATTTTCAATGGTTAATGTGCATAATTATTACCTCATGGTTGCCAAGAGAAGGTTTATGATAACGACGAACCGAAGGCGATAGTGGAAGTGAATTTGCCTCAAACTGTGGCTGGCTTTTGATGTATTTTTGTGGAAAATCTTAACAATGTGTTATTTAATAATAATTTTTGAAATGGTTAACTACACCACAAACTGAGTGACGCCAGGTGCAGTTACAGAGAGGCCCAGGGCCAAGCTTGCAGCATATTGCTGAATTGGTACAGGAAGGAGAGAATTTTGAGACAAATTTTATCTGCTACGTAAAATGGATCACCACAATAGTTAGATCCAGGTTTTTTAGGATTTTGTTGGTCAACAGCTGTTGTAAAATAACAATACATTATTACTTCTTGCCATCGTATGCCACAGTAATTGCTGACTGCTTTTGTTAAGAATTGCAAATGATGGTGAAGAAGCTGTCACTCAAATAGCCCAGATTGGTGAAATGCTCTTCGCTATTGCTCCTTCATGACAATTCCTGACTGTGGTCAGGTCCTGACCACATATTGAACAATAAACATTCACAAAAATAGCAGAGCTAAAGCTAGAGTCTATTAAAGAATATATATAAAGAATAGATAAAGATCTAACATAATATTCTTCAGACTTTACCTCAACAGTGACAGCAGAACGGCGGACATTTTGTTGCCGGCGGGTTTTAAACCCAACAAATGTATAAGGCTGTATATTTTTGCCCCAACAGACTTCGACTTTTTTTAAAAGGTTTAGATAACTTTCCAATAGCCAAACATTTTTAATTACAAATGAGTATAACAAAGATATTTTAAGAGCATAGATTCAGCATAGAGCATAGCATCAAAAAACTACCCATAAAATGGCAAGAATGTGTAAATAGTTCTGGCAAATATTTTAATTGAAGTTTAAGCTATTTTTGTAAAAAAATATTTTTATTTTCCATAGTGGTCACTTCAAATTTTGAAATTATATAAAAAATCTTCCTATCTATTACAAGTATTATTATTATTTTATTAATTATAGTATTTTTCAGTATTATGAGAATAATCACAAATACAGTAAAAAATGGACATCCCAATATTGTATAATATACATAGAGTATAACGGATCTGTTGTTTTACAACAGACCTGTTATTATGTCAAAGTGGCTAAGTCCTAGCAGTCTCTTTACAACTTTACAAAAAAAATGAAAACAAGCCGCCTCTAAAAAAAATCAGATAAAGTATCAGTCTTAGAGACAACTGTCATTGGCATTCATCGGCTATAACATTTAAATGTGATATTCTTTTACTAAAAAAAAACATTACTTTAAATTTACTTTTCATCTTACATCCCACTGTACCTTCACCTCTATCTCCCAACCCTTCCCACGCCTTACCAACAATTTTAGCTATCTTTTAAGGGAAAAGAAAATTTCGAGTGCTTGTCCCCATGCATGAGTATATATAACAATGAAATTGGAAAAGTTTGCAATGGTGCTGCTGGCATTCTTTAGGTGTACAAAAGCAACCTACTACAGACTTTGGGAACAAATAAATAAATCTATTTTAAAGTACAAATTATTTTTATTTTTTAATTATTCTATTTAAACAGAAACCAATACAAATTATGTAAATAGGTACTATTAACTAGTGTGTGGGAATGTGACGTGACAAATGATGGTTATGATTTAAATAATTGTTTATTTCATTTAAAGTAGTATACAGTAAACCTCCATTTAATTCTGCATTTTACATATTGCATAAAACAACTATCAAATATAGCATCCTTAGTTGTATCGTCCCTTTAATGTTGGTATAACTAATTTTGACTGCCTTCTTGGTTTAGTGGGTGTAAATGCAACTGCTCATCATGAGGGCTAAGGTTGGAATCCAAGGTCAGGCAAACAATCTGTTATTGAATTTTTTTTGTCAATAACTTCTCAATAGCAGCTCAGTCACAAAGTTGGCGGTGTTTCAACTCCGTGCCTTGAAAATCATGTTAAGCTGCTAGTCCTGTGCCTGATCTTTCTCCGGTCATGTTGGTTTGCTGACCCAACTGACTAAGTGAGTGAAAGAATAGAGTGCGTCTATGCCTGCATATATATTCAGCAGGGGGGTAGCTACCGCCGAATCAGCCGTATCAATGATACGGGGCCCCTGGCCTACAGGAGCCCCGAACATGTGTAAGCAAAAATTCGTAAAATGTTATTCTAAATCTTACTTAAACTCTTTAGCCGCCAGAACACAGAGATCTTTAGTCACTCAGCAAACTTTGAGAGAGCTTGAGTCATGACCTTGTAGCCGCAGATTTTCAACTGTTGCAGTCTCTTCAGAATTCTTTGGGTAGTGTTAAGATCAAGAGAGGACTGTCAAACTACCTACTTGTCGCATTTTTTCATCTAAAATCCCAAAATTTCTACAGAAACAGGATTATGTTATCTACCTACAAGATGGCAACAAGCTATCGAACAAAATGGCACATATTATGTTATAAATAAATGTAATAAAACTTTGAAAAAAAAAAATGTGTATATGAAGAAACTTTTTCTCCGACCTATTAAGTTCGCAAAGAACAAGACAAGAAAAGTGTATATATTAATTGTTTGGCTAGCTTAGTATCTAGGAGTATTAATTGTCATTATTAACTTATAATAATCAATATATAAATATTTTAATTCATGGGAGCAGTTTTGGGCCTTTCATTTGGGGCCCTCCAACAAATATTGATGCAGGGCCCATCTAAAGTACGCTACGCTACTGATATTCAGGCACTATTATTCTGTCCTATACATATGACTAGCCTCTGTTGAGTCTCTGACTGAAATCTGGTCTTGAGGAAGTTATTATTATAACCAACAATTTCAACAGTAATAAGGTTAACTAAAGACAATTTATTATGTACCTGTATAGAATAAACGGGTGGTTTTTATTATCTACTAATTTATAAAGAGTTAATATCAACCATTACCCCATATCATAATACGGGTGCCGTAAAAAAGGGAAAAAGACATAGATGGGCAGCAGCAGCTTGGATATCTTGATATGAAGCAATTTATTGTGAGGTCTATGTTCAGAAATACTTTTAATAGGCTGTACCTAATGAATTAATGAATGAAAAACTATAACTTTGCCAAATAAACTTTGTTTTATAAAGTTTATTTAGTATTCTGTTACAGTTAAATTTTATTAACTAAATATTCCTAACATATTAGTGTATCTGGAAAAAAAAAAGTTTCTTGAAATTTAACGCTTTATTCATAAAAGAGCTTTATAAAAAATATATGTTCAAGATTTTATGCCACAATATTTTAAAGTATGTTTGCTGTAACAAACCTTGTTTGGGTTCCATCCTGAAATATGAGGCTGCATGCAAGAGAGGAAAGGTATGACATACGTGCAGTTTTAAAGTTACGGGTAATATCAATAAACATGTTTTGATGATTTAATAAAATCTCAATCCTTAATTTACTTACCCTTTATAAAGAATATACATAGAACATTGATATCTTTTTTTACTATGGTCTTTGATATTATGCTCAAAATCACAAATTAAAAATATAATACAGGTTTAGTGTAAGTACTACGTAAAACAGTAACAAATTAACAACAAATCAGTACTCAGTAAGTTTGGGTAGCAGTAGTAGTTTTTATCAATGACAGTGACACAACAGAACAACAGCTGACAACTGAAAACGGCTTGTAGAAAAAATATAAATTTATCGATACATTAACATTTTTGTCCATCAATACATCGATATTTTTAGGCGATATTTATTATTTCGATACATCGATATATAATAACAAGCATTAAAAATGTATCAAATACGATATATTTTCAATAGTAACACCTACTTGACTTAAGCCGCTGGAATTAAGATAATCCATAAAATTTTTGGAATGTCAAATTTACGAGCACTCGGCCAAAAGTACGGCCAACTAGCAGCGATACGAAAGGTCATTTACCTTAAAAACGACTGTGGACTGTGGATGTGTGTTTCCATCTTGTGTATTTGTCTTAATGTCTTGTTTTCCCGGCAAAAACATGTCAGGGTCAAGACGGGTTCATCATCAACCTATCATCATCAACCCAAGGAGCTTGGGTAACATTAACTAGTGTTTTTTTTTTACTAAGAAAATAAAATTATGCTCTATGGCCAGTTGTTTCCAGTACAATTTTTTTTTCATATCAATTGGGGATGCCATATACAAACTAAATGTACCATAAAGGAAGATACAATAACAAAAGTTTTATACATTTTAACTGTATTTATTGACTTAAATTAATAAAATAAAATTTGTATTAAAATACTAGACCCTTTTGGGTTTCATTTGAGATCAAAAAATATGTATGTTAGGACGACATTTCTTATTAATATTTGACTTACAAAAATCTTACTCTTCCCACTCCATGAATAAAATTTCATCTTCTATGTATGTTATACCACCTTTCTTGGAGATTTGATGTTCTTTTACGATACTTACTTTATCCGATACCTTTACTTTTAATATCTCGGCTTTTGAAGGCCACTTCCAACCTCCTAAAAAGGATTTTTGGAAAGCTGAAACCATGACAGTCGCGGTTGACAAATTTACTTTTCGTATTTGTCCTAGGAACCTGCTCATTACTAGAATCATTTTTTCAGTGTTATCTTCCTTGCGAGTTAGTCCACTCTTATGTGACGTAGAGGCTATTAAGTCACCGCTAGGTTCCACAACATATTCTTCTACAATTGGCAAATCCTTATCTTCTCATAATATTTGTTCTTCCGACACTCCAATTGTAAAATCTCCTCGGATTGTTATGACCGGTGGCTCAACCTCTTGTTCTTGAAGCACAGATAGATTATCACCTATGTCAAGCATATATAAATCTTCAGCTATTTCTGGAGAAGGTGGTCTGTGTATCATAGCCTTAACGACGAACTTTGCGTGTCCTCCAATGTTTTGTGACTTAAGTTCATTTCCATCACCTTCTTCACCACGCTTAACAGTATCAACCATTGATTTATATAACACTATATTAGTAATAACCGCGCTAAAGCGTTGCTACTGCCCATATGGCCACAGCCATATGCCTAGCTAACGTGAGTTCATTGTTTAATGTGACGCCGACAGAGTTGAGCTGCGACAAAAATGGGTAATTGCGTAGTGAAAGAATGCTATTTAAGGTCACAAAAACGTAATAAATCAAGCGGAATCACTTTCAACACATAATTTTTAGTTCTTGTTTTCTTATAAACGTAAAAAAACCTCAAATAATTAAATAAAATTACTGAATATTGCCATTTAAGTTCAATGTTGCCACTATATAATTAATGGAGTAAGTTAATTTGTTACCTCTGATTTTAAATATTTTGGAAATTATAATAAAAACTACGTTTTAACTTTCATACAAAATAATTAATTATTCTTATTTTAGTTTATTCATGAATTATCTATTAAATATATTTTATTACCTATTTTATATTAATAATTTTATTTTATTTATAATTTCATATAAGTTTTATATCTTAATATATATAAATTACGTGTCACGTTGTCTGTCCGCGATGAACCCCTAAACTACTTAACCGATTTTAATTAAATTTGCAAACTTGAGAGATAGGATAGTTTTTTTGCCCATAAGTGACCCACATTTTTTTTCCGAATTTAAGGATATTTAATAGGACATGCCAAATTGTCGTAGAAAAGGGCAGAACAACGTCTGCCTGGCAAGCTTGTTAATTATATTTTATTACCTATTTTATATTGTTTGATTTATTAGTACCATTTCATCATTATGTTTACTTCTATTCATCTGATAAGCTTTGTATCCTTTATTTCTAATGGGACGTAATAAAGATTTTAAAATAAAATATACTTATTTAATATAAAAACAATTAACTGCAGCTTAAAAAAACTCATTCTTACTGCGTATTTTGGGTAAAATTTCATATAGTAAGCCACACCAACCCGCCATTGCATGTTTGTGTGTCTATCTTTATCTAATATTAGCGACGATATTGTTTTCGCAACTTGTGTAAGTGAGATAGATATATGTTTACTTAAAATTGTTATTAGTTTCAAAGCTACGTCGTCGCATTTGGATAGTGGTTACACTTTTTTCGACGCGCGGTAATGTGGTGTGCTCCTCTAGTGTTGTATAGCTCAATGGTATCAACGACCTCATTGTTTTCACTGTCATTTTTTGTTGACAAGACTTCTCCATAAGGAGCAGGATCCCTTTGCTTTTTCTTTTTCTTGTTTTTTGATCCCATGCGCCTGCCACGTTTTTTAGACTGGCTGGTTTCTACTTCATATCCTGTCTTCGTTTTGGCTGTTTTTTCCCTTTCTTTATAATAATTTTCCACTTCTTCAACCGACACACTCTTCCCTGCTACTACAGGTAATTGAAATTTCTTTCCTTTGGTTACCGTATTCAAATCCGATTGCCTCACATTTTCTATATAATTAATAAAACTTTCGCCAATAGTGTCGCGGTATACACTGGAAGTTTGTTTAACACAGTCTCTGGAGACAATGGATACAAACCACAACTTTTAAATCCTGCTCGTAGATTTTCAGATGAATTGTCATTTCCATTTTGTAAAGTTTTTTTAATTAACTGGGCAAATGATGACTTCGGAAGAGCCAACACTTTCTTGCCTCTGCAGGTTTGACGATAATCATTAAGTACTCCATGCCGATTTTACTGCCGAAAAATAGCCTACATCAAGGGGTTGAAGAAGATGTGCCGAGTTAGGGATTAAACAAATGAACGAAATATTATTTTTAGCACACAAGCTCAGTGCTTTAGGAGATATGTGCGCGCTTAAATTATCACACATTAATATTTTTTTACCCTCATCTTTTTTCACGAATGGAATGAATTGGTTTTCTAACCAATCTTCAAAAATTATTGTCTCCATCCATCCTGATTTTGAGACTGCACTTCTGGAACCCTCAGGGGCTTGATATAGCCAATCAGACCAAAGTTTTACCCCTTTAAAAATAAAAAATGGTGGTACGAGCTCACCTGCTACATTCCCAGAAGAAGACAGAAGACTAAGGTAAAACACGATTTAGAGCTGTTTTTTATTACGTAAGGGTGCTTGCAATCTCTACGAAATAGCAATTTCTTTTTCCCGGGATCGTCATGAAACCCTGACTCGTCCATGTAATACAAATATTGTAGAGCGACACCTTCACTCTCCTTGGAAAAATGATTAAAAAATTGTTCAACTTGCTCACGATTAAGTTGAGCTCTTTTTCTCGGGATATTATGAAATAGTTTCTCCTTCAGTAAAGGGTGTCTTTCTAAAAATAATGTTCCCCATTCATAACCAGGCATATTATCTCTGAATTGCGGCACAATCCTGTTGTTTTTATTTAGGTGATCTCTGACGATAATACTGAAGTCTAACATACTCAATGATAAGCCCACATCACTCAACAGTAACAAATGATTCTGAAAGCTCTCCTCCTCTTCTGCGGTAAATGTAATAGGTCTTCCGATATTTTTGATATGTTTCTTATTTAATTTATAATATAATGTTACAGGTGGTATATTATAATGTTTGGAAGCATCCATCCTAGACATGGCACCTGACCGAATTTTACTAAGTGCCTCTTCCAAAATTCTGGAGTATAGTTGCTTTTAGTTCCATATTTTCTAACACCAGGCTTAATTTTAAAGGATTTTCGCGGCATTGTGCCTTTAAATAAAAAACAATTATGTTCATACATATGTTTTTTAACATTTGGTAGCAACACATACAAAGTTACCCCATCTAATAAAATACTACCAGGGTAACATTGAATGGTTCAAAGTTACCCAAAAATTTGTTATTTTTTTTTGTATCAAATGTTTATCAAATATATGGATAAAAGGGTTAGTAAATTATATGTTAATTGACAAAAAGATAAGTAAAACTGTGCCAGTAATATTAAACATAAAACTTACCCTCTTCAGTTACATCTTTAAAAAAATGTAATTTAAATTCACTAATAAACTTTGTTGCAGACAGACCTTGTTTTCGCAGACGCGCTAAAATACAAACTGACATTGACAAGTACAGTTTTTTTTTTTGTTAAATATAGTCTATACATTCCACTGTTTAGCTCCACACGATACCTTCTCTATTTGGATACCGGAGTATCACAGTAGATACAGACACATATATAGAGTACAGTTGTAAAAAATAATTGTTAGTGAAGTTCTATTCAAAGTTACATTGAAATTCAAAGATACCCAAGTTGACTGCACCGCAACTGTGCATCGTCGCTGCAACAACGGAACGTTACGACTGCATTGTTGCAACGCTGCGATAACGCAGCGCCAGTGTGGGCGGCAAGGCGTCAAAATATTTGCGTTGCGACGACGCAACGCAACGCAACGCGCTGTGTGAACTCACTCTGAGGACTAAAATGGACTACCTCGATTCCAGTAAAAAGGGTCTCCGGATGTCTACACTCACCATACTGTATTTTACACTGGTATTTTGTGAGAGCGTGGTCCTTCCCGGGACGAGCCGTCCCGTTCGTGCCACAACCATAATTTAGCTGCAGCGTGGCTCTAGCACTTGTAATATCTTACCCAAATGTAGCTTTCGCCCACACGTGTAGGTCCTATCTACACGAACTACAGAAAGTTGACAACTTCTTCATCAATGAAGCCACCGGAGCAGGTTGGTATCAAAGGAATCAGTGACAACATGATGAAATAGTCGCAAATTTAAAGACCTTACGGAGCAACGGTAGGGGTTCTGACGGGCAGGGGGCGGGGCGACCTTGTGATATTGCACTTGGCGAGTTTGATAGACAATACACGAGGTTGCCACGAGGGTGTTTTATGGTACTTATTTAACTAATTTAAGTGCTGTTTTCGAAAAATATAAATGACGGCCATGCTTATGTTTTCTTCATTTTTTTGTTGATAAAATTTTATCCGAATGCGAATATATTACATAGTTAAATTTAACAATCGAAAATTGAAAACATCTATAAAAAGAAAGTGTCACGAAAATATTTGGCAGTGCAACACTTGTTTTTTTCTTGTAGTAATAAAAATTTTCTTGTTCAAAAAACGTTTTTAACTTTTAAGTGTGTACATAATGTAAATAAATGATAATGAGTATTATAACATTCAAAATCATTTTACAGTAATCCGACATACGTTTTGTTAGACGGTGTCGGATTGTCAAATTTGTCGGTCTATAGAATACTACCACAGCCCCCTTGTACCTACTCGTAGTCCGGAACTTTTTGAAAAAGAGTACCTTGTAATCCGACAAATTACATATCAAATATAAAATAATTAAAAAAAGTCGTGTGATGCACAATGGATACTTAAACATAGTAAATAATTAATGCCCGCTAGGCTGCAACCCCACATGTCGGATTACAAGGGGGTGTGGATTAGCCAGGGGCCGGATTACCGGGGGTGTACTGTATTTCCATTTTCGTGACAACCCCTAGCATACACGCTGCCGTGTAGGGACTGTGGAATCGCCGGACATCAAAGGCGTTTCAAACTGTAAGGTCTTAAAACTATGATAACCCTTTCAGAACGGCTTGTACTAATCGTGCGTTGATGTTTAAAAAATTGTACTGATTACTGAATTTTATTTTACCGCGCGGAAACGACTTCGATCGTTTGTGCATTGATTTCGTTTTATAATGCGGAGAGTTGCGTGGGAGTAGACCATATTAGTGGCGTGTCGTGACGTATTCAAGAGGGACGTTCACTTTGTGAATCGCGACGGTCGACGTGAGTAAATTATTTTTCATTATTTATTATTTTTCATATCAAAATAGCTAATGTTGATATTTACGTTCATTAATATTAAATAATCCTAGTAAATTTATAAGTTTTAACTGTCGTAACCGGCCCGCGAAATTTAAACGCACGATCGTGAGTTGTCGTTTTTAATTGTTTTCCGTTAGTTAAATGTTCATGCCAATAACCTCGCATTTTTTTCAGAACAACCTCTAAACTACGAGTTGTTACAAAATTTGCATGGAGATGGGTGTCAATCAGACCTGGACATATCGGATAAGGAGACAGAATCGGCTGTCAATGTGCCTCGACTACTAGATGATGAAGGTGGTATACCCCCAGAGATTTCACCAGGTAACCATAACAACGACAGTGACTCATATCAAAATATGACTTTGACATAGCTGCAGTATATAAATCAGGAGAACTTTCCCCCACCTGCAAACTCCTGCCACCTCGAAATGCCTAATTGTCTTCAGGCACAAAAGAGATCTGGAATCTGGAAAGCTGTTACTTTTACTGATGTCGAGCATAATTTTCGTTATCGACCGGAACCCTCTGAAAATAAAACTCCGCTGCAATATCTTTCTACAAATTTCAATGAAGATTTTTTCAAAAATACCGCACAATGCAAAATTTTGTACTACCTGCGTAAAACTGGGTCAGTCGTGAGCACAACTTCTCAAGAGATGTGCAAATTATTTGGTATACTTTTATTTATGCGCTGTATACCATACCCACGAATTAATATTATGTACTAGCGTACAGATATGCACCTGGAATTAATCACTAGTCAAATGCCAGAAGACCATTATTTCTTATTAAGAAATAACATGCACGTAGTACCCACAGATGAACCACCTTCAGGAAATTCAAATCCGTTGTGGAAGGTACAGCCCGTTCTCGACGCTGTTAAGAAGGCTTGCTTGTCTCTCAAAAGGATGGCAGGTGAATACTCAATCGATGAACATATTATACCTTACACAGGGAAATGTAAATTGCGAGATCATTAGTAAAGGATAAACCGAGACCACTCGGATTAAAAAATTACATCGTTACAATAAGTGACGGGTTAATTTTTCAGGTTTTATTTACTATCTACCATTTAAGTATTGATTTTTTGTTGTCTAGAATGACTTTTTATTTTGACGATAATAGTACTTAAGATAATAATTAATATGATTTTGTTTTTTTTTTCGTTATATAACGATATAAAAGAGACTGATTTATGTAGACTAAGCAGTAATTTATGTGTAAAAATACAAAAATTCGTTGAAATAGAAGTTAATATCAAAATACTGTGTTATTAAAAGTAATACTTTCTTTAATAATAAATAAATAAATATATTAGGAAACATTTTTTTACAGTTTTATTCCCTATGCACGATCGTGCGTTAGCACACTTAAAAACGAGAGCGCACGTACGTGCGGAGGGGCTACAGCGAAATTTAAAGAGGGGGGGGATTATTTCTATTATTTTTTCTAAATATTTTAGCCATTATATATCTAGAATTTAATGTAAAATTTTTGAGAAGCAGGATTATTTTTTGTCGTTCTGAAAGGGATAATCGTCATTGTTTAGCTAGCGACCGTTGTAGCTAGATAGCTGCTGCTGTCACGAGTACGGACGAGTATTAAGCAACAGAGTACGATAGCCGCACTTAAAGCCAGGGACCCCTTAGCTGGATTGCGTCACTATAAGCTAGGAGATAGATAGCCGAAGTAGTGGGCCTAGTCTACAATTGTAAATTAATTTTATTAAAAAAATATCACACTGGGTTTCTCGCTGGTTCTTTCCAGGATCAACAGGTAAAAGTAAACAAATGACTGTTAGTAGAGTTACATGTAATCTATATTGAATTAAAATGATTCTATTCCATTCTAAGAGAGCTATTCTATTCCATGCTTGCGCATACACTTGGGCACTATAATCCGGTGCTACGTAAAACATTACTTTCAATATGAATTACATGTAATCAACATTGAATAAAAAATATTCTATCCTATTCTAATTATTTTTGGGTTTCCTAACAATGGTAAAAAGAGTCTAGTTCATTATCTTCTTCGATCGTTGCATATTAATTTTAAGAGCTTTAGTTTTAAGATACCGTAATTAATTATCACCTTATCATCTTATATCACATCTTAATTTGCAGGTGGCTCAGGACTGTGTTTTGTGGCATTCCTAAGGGTAGGCCTATGTTCAGCAGTGCGCTTGTGAAGCGCTGTAATGATGAATGATGATGATTAAGATGTGTCAGCTCGTCGTGAACTCGTTCTCGGAGAATCCCAGAGTAAAATAGCAGCACTATTTTGTTGTTTTTCATGTGGTAAGTAACATGAACCGAAAATCCTTGTAACAAACAACGAGGTACGGTATCTTAGTCGTCAGTTATCTCTAAGCATCTGCATCTTGATTCTTGATCAAGGATAGATATGGGTTTATGGACACATCCTCTTACTATCAGGTGGACTGTGTGCTTGTATGTCACTTTTACTTATATAAAAATTATTAGATCTCGACTAGGGCTATATATAAGTATTTGGGCTGACGTATGTATTTATTTTATCCCTATATGTGTTGTATAATAAGAAAGTGAACACCTTATAATCATTTATTAATCATATGTGTTTGAAACTTGCCTACTGGAAGAAGTTTCATTGTGAGATAAGTAGAGCCTTTGTACAAACTTTTTATCATGATGTGTCCTCTCCCTTACTTGTGTAAATAAATAATAAATAGGGCTTATGTCCTGTATGTATTCTACTGGACAATATCTTCATCATTGCTTTTAAAATTTGCTTTAAAATATGGTTTAAATAATCGAAGTCCTTTAGGATTATATGAAGTGATAAGCGAAGTCGTTTAGGATTGTTAGAGTTTTAATGGAGGAGATGCTGTTATTTTTATTATCATTGCAACACTTTATAAAGAAGGCTGTAGAAAACGTACCTGAAAGCTTATAAAATTTTGTTTGTTTTCTTCTTTGCGTCGTAATATAGTTTTTCTGCGGTATTTTTGATTAAAAGTCTTGACAGCTTAAGCGTACTCAGTTTACGGTAGACATTTGAGTCTACGTCCTGAGTTCATTAACTATGGCACGGAATCTTGAGCTCTGTATATAAAATGGGAAATAATTTTGAAGATAAATAAGGTTTCTGTTGATGGTGTGAGTCTGATCATCAGGGTTTCTTTAAGAATGCTGCTTACTTTGTGTACGACTAAACTTAGCCACTCGAGTAGCCAGATCGTGTCTGCCGGTCTGTGAGGTGTGAACTACTGAGGTGTATACTTTGATATTATAGTATGCTTATGGATTCAGACTTAGCTACTATGTATTATACAATGGCATTACTCATCATCATCATCATTACAGCCCTTCACAAGTCCACTGCTGAACATAGGCCTCCCCCAAGTAATGCCACAAAGCACGGTCCTGAGCCACCTGCATCCATCGACTTCCTGCATATCTTACCAGGTCGTCACTCCATCTAGTGAGGAGTCGCCCTACGAGGCTGCCACTCGAGAACCTTTCTTCCCCATCAGTTATCGGTTCCTCGAGCTATATGGCTGGCCCATTGCCACTTCAGCTTACTAATCCGTTGGGCTATGTCGGTCACTCTGGTTTTACTGCAGATATCCTCATTTCTGAGTCTATCATGCAGAGAAACTCCGAGCATAGCCCTCTCCATAGCTCGCTGAGCGACCTTGAGCGTCCTCATACGGCCAGCAGTGAAGGACCACGTCTCAGATCCGTAAGTCATCACTGGCAACAAGCACTGGTTATACAATCTAGTTTTCAAAGATTGAGGTATACCTGACGAGAAGATGTGTCGTAATTTCCCGAACGCTGCCCAGCCGAGTTGAATCCGCCGATTGACCTCTCGGTCGAAGTTGGACTTACCTAGTCGGACTTTTTGTCCCAGGTAAGCATACTCGTCAACAATTTCGAGCATAGTGCTCCCAACAACTATCGGCATAGGTGTGACATGGACATTAAATATGATCTTTGTTTTGTCCATATTCATCTTAAGACCTATCCGTTGGGAGACACCATTGAGGTCATTGAGCATAGTGCTAAGGTCCTCCAGCGATTCTGCCATAAGGACTATATCGTCGGCAAATCGAAGGTGAGTGATGTACTCGCCATTGATGTTAATACCGTATCCTTTCCAGTCCAGTAGCTTGAAAACGTCTTCCAACGCAGCGGTGAAGAGTTTCGGGGATATAACGTCACCCTGTCTACTCCCTGCAGTTGGATAGGTTTCGAACTCTGGTTCTGTACTCGGATAGCCATCGTAGCCCTACTGTATAAGCACTTCGGCACTTCGATATACCGACAGTCAACTTGGCACGAGGACACACAATTTCGGGAATCAAAGGTTTTCTCATAGTCCACATAGGCCAGGCAAAGTGGCAGATTGTACTCTTCGGTCTTCTGTACAATCTGCCGCAGGGTATGTATGTGGTCTATGGTACTGAAGCCTTTTCGGAAACCAGCTTGTTCGGGAGGCTGGAAGTCGTCGAGTCTGCGTGCGAGACGATTCGTAATGACTCTCGAAAACAGCACGTAGACGCAGCTCAGAAGGGAAATCGGTCTGTAGTTCTTCAAGAGAGCGTTGTTACCTTTCTTGAAGAACAAGACCACCGCACTTCTGCTCCACGTCTCCGGAGTATTGCCACCATGGAGGACGGAATTAAAGAGCTTCTGAAGGACTTCAAGTACCGGTGTTCCACCCGCTTTCAGGAGCTCCGCTGTAATTCCATCCTCGCCTGGGGCCCTGCCGTTTTTAAGATGCTGGAGAGCCATTCTAATCTCGCTCAGACTGACGTCCGTGATATCATCGGAATAGTGTCGGATAAGACTTGCTCTTGGATCGTTACTCACACTTGCGTGTGGCTCCAACGATGATGTGTACAGCTGCCCATAGAACCTCTCAATCTCACTCGAAATCTCAGGTGTCCCGGAAACGATGCTGCCACACTCAGTATTCAGCTTTGACAGTTGCCTCTTTCTGGCAGACAGATCTCTGGCAAAGACTTTGGAGCCCTGGTTCCGCTCGATCGCTTCTTTAATACGAGCAGTATTAAAGTTGCGTCAGTCTCGCCGCATGCATTTGGAGATCTGGTCTGTTGCCTGTATGCTGTCAAATCTGTTGACGATTGCAGCCTCATATCCCGTCTAACAGCCATGAGATTAAGAGTGTGATCGGAGAGTTTTTGTGTTCTTCTGCGGCGGGTCTTGCAGAACTTAGCTCCGACTGCATGGACAGTTTCCACGAGCTTATCATTCATATCGTCCACCGCATTGCAGTTTTCTAGGCACTGAAAGCGGTTACGTAACCATGGACAGTTTCCACGAGCTTATCATTCATATCGTCCACTGCATTGCAATTTTCTAGGCACTGAAAGCGGTTACGTAACTCGAGCTGAAAGGTTTCGGGATTCTGGACTAGAGCACGAGGGGGACGGAGCGTTGACTTCATTAGACGAGACCTCTCCAACTTAACGTTTAGGTTCAGTGTGCCTCTAGCCATTCGGTGATCGCTGCCAGTTTTCACCCTTGCGATCACTGAGACATCACTGAACAGTCTACGTCTGGTCGTCATAATGAAGTCAATCTCGTTTTTTGTGGAACCGTCGGGGCTCGCCCAGGTCCACTTTCTGTGGGGCCGCTTCTGGAAGAAAGAGTTCATCATAAAAAGTCCCTCTTTCTCCATGAAGTCAGCCATCTGCTGACCTTGGGTTCCGTTGCCCTAACCCATCCCTACCTTCAGCTTACCGTTCTTTCTTGTGCCCAGTTTTGCGTTGAAGTTTCCCATTAACACCGTATAGTGAGTTTTGGAGGAATGCATGGCTCTAGAAATGTCCTCATACATTTCCTCCACCTCCTCATTGGGATGTTCCAACGTTGGCGCGTAAACCTGTATGACCTTCAGCGAATACCGTTTGGTGATTCTGAGTATAAGGTACGCAACCCTCGTCGATACACTCCCAATCTTTAAAACGTTGTTAACGAGAGACTTGTGGACGATAAATCCAACACGTCCTAGGGACGGATGGTCGCCCTCCCGGTGATAGAACAAGTTGCTGGATTCGAGAATCACCGTGTCCTACCCCTCTCTTCGGACCTCGGATAATCCATATATCGTATAATTGTCTATATCTTCTTCCAGCTCCTTGATCTTCTCGTCAGTCCTCAGGGTGCGTGCGTTAAATGTTGCCAGCTCGAGTCGTCGTAGGTGGCAACCGAACCTCCATCGGAGATTCTTAGCACCCCCTGCCCCGCCGTTACCATGGTCGCCACCGTAGCCAGGAATAGCGGAGCCGCCGGGGACTGGGGGCCGTCTATTTGTGTAATTCTTCATGGGGGGTATATTGCCATAGTTGCCACGCTTGGCGAGCGGGTTGGCAACCGCAGTTTTTTTTGTTGTGCAGTTATCAGGAAGATGCTGCTGCCCATCTCCTGCCTGTTTCTCTCTGTCGCCTTTTACGATACCCATGGGAAGATATGGGGTAGTGGATATTCTTAAACGCCACTACACGGCAATACTACTATGGCATTACTACTATGAGTTAATAAAGAAGTAATTTAATAATTTTCTTTTTTGATCTTGTCGAGGATTTAAGAAACTATTTTGTGAGATGCATTGATTATTCCTTGAACCACATTAAAATTATGTGAGGAAGAGAATATTATAAAAGTAAAGAAAAATGTAATACATGAAATACACTTCATGGTGCGTGCCTATTTCTTTGCTTTTATTTTAAGATTTACGTAATTGAGAAATGTTGTTTAGGTTATCGTTTCATTTAAAACTTGTTTATTCTATTGTCTATTTCACCACAATGGGCAGGCAAGTTGGTGAAGTCAGGAATGTGACCCTGGTATTGGCAATAATGCGGATTTCGGCTTGGCATTGCGGCGGATGATTACACAGCGTTGGATGCACAGCACAAATGTTGAGTTCCGCATTCGAATCATTTATAAGAAATCATGAAGATGAAATAAAACACTCAATATTATAAATAAAGAATATTTATTTTTCTATAAACACATTATTCTTTTTATATCTTCAATGGCTCACATCATATAAATCGCGGATCGCATTGGGCTTTCGTCAACGTAGTCGTGTGCGTGGATGGAGAGGTGTTCAGCGGGCAGACCGCGGAGCGACGCCGAGACGAAGCGCCCAGCGCGCGCGGCTCCTTAGCTAAACAATTTGTGCATCGAGGTTTGGTAGAGATTACTTTAATCGCTAAATCACATTTGGACACTAATATACATGTATAACTACTTTCAACAAGTGTCAATATTGAGCAGTACGAGGGGGGCCGCGGGAGCGCGCGGCGCGCAGCCGGCGTCACGCGGGCCCGTACACGCAGTCGCCGCGGCGCGCGCCCGCCGACTCCTCACCCGGCAGCACGGCGGCGCGCCTCCACTGGTCACGCACGCGCTCCACGTGCCGCAACACGCGGACCACGTTCATGCCGGCGAGCTTGCGCACGTCCTCCTCACTCCAGTCGGGGTCGCGTAACAACTCAGCCAACAGGTGCGGATACCGCGACACATCCTCCAGCCCCTCGGGTGGCGCATCGATTCCGTCGTACCCGGCCCCGAGACCCACGTGCTCCACTCCCGCCACCCTTCTCACGTGATTGATATGGGCCACCACGTCTTCCACCGTCGCTTTTTCGCCACATGTTACTAATTTCGCATAAAAATTTATCATTACCACGCCTCCATTCGCTGCGATCATTCTTAGCAATTCATCTGGAACATTTCGTGTTGAATTACAAATTGCTGCCGCGCCAGAGTGTGAAAACACTACGGGGGCTTGTGACGTCTCTAAAGCGTCCCGCGCGGTCTCTTCGCCGGCATGTGAAAGATCCACGATCATTCCGAGACGATTCATTTCACGTACGACAGCGCGACCGAACTCTGTGAGTCCACCTGAGGTGCCAGCGGCGCGCGCCCATCTATTATCACACGTATGCGTTACTGTAAGGTATCGAGCTCCAAGTTGGTAGAACGCCCGTAAAACAGCGAGCGAATCGCCGAGAGCATGTCCACCTTCGACACCAATGAGAGATGCAATTCTACCCTCCCGATGTGCGTCCAAAAGCTCCGATGCATCGGTCACCAATGCGAGGTGTGCAGCATTCATTTCTACTATTCGCTTGATAACGTCCATCTGTTCCAGAGCGAGTTGGACGGCGTCGCGGTCTCTCGCACCACATGGCACATACGCAGACCAAAATTGTGCGCCGACCTGACCGAGTCTAAGCCGTGGGATATCCGTGTGCGACCAGCGCGAGCGCGCCCACGGCTCTAGGCCCTCGAGACCGGCTGACAAATTAAAATCACTAATTTTGTTATGGAGAAATTTTCGAATGTTCCAAGCCAAGTCATTGTGACCGTCGACGAGAGGTGAGTCTCGTAACATGCGGCGTATGGTGGTGAGTCGTTGCTCCGGTGTCTCGCGGCCGCTGCCACCAAGTACGAGGGGCAGAGCGAGTGCAGCGCAGAGAGCAGCCAACACGACGAGCGCCGCGAGCGCTATGCGCCAGCGAGGCCGCCGCGGCGTCGGCTTCTCATCTGAACTGCCCGAGGCCGACGCCGACAGCGAGTCCGGTGCCCAGCGGCCGCAACGCTCCGCCACATCCGGCAGCGAGCCGGGAAACGTCATGCCTTCTGGCACTGCCGCCTTAAACAAACAAACAAGCGAACATTAATATTTAGCACCCGAATGACCGAGCTTTGCTCGGTTATTTTTTGAAATTACATTTAGATACAAATTACATACTGATGAATAATATTTTTTGATCTTATTGGCATAAGAGAAAAATAAAAAGAAGGGAGCTAATTAAAAACTGTAGGCCTTTCACGATTTAATCTTACACAGAATGTGCCAGTAGCCAACGATCGGAGACCAATTTTCTTATTCGTGACCAGCTTTTGCTCATATTAATTTCTTTTTTTTTTGTTTTTGTAGTTATCGTTTCTTTTTATGAGACTTTTGTTCAGATTTTGACGTAATAAATAACATTTGCAAAATTATATGCATGTATAATCACAACAGTTATTATCTTAACATAAATAATATTTTTAAATGAATTTCTTAGTGTACGTTTTTATTTAGTTATTTTATTGTATTCTTTAATATTTTAGTAACATTAGCACAAGTAACATTAACACTCACGCCTGTTACATAGAGGGGTAGGCATCTACGGGCTTCAATTTGGCACGATCCTGACACACCTACCTACACGCTCGCCGGTTAAAGATTCTCTTAATTTAGCCCACCTTTAATATATCGCCAATTTGGTCAATAAACCTCCGTCTAAGAGCGTCCGTCCGACTGTGCCATTAAACTTCCGTCTACGACGTCTCATGCCGACTATGCCATTCACTTTTGCAACATAAATTTTCTTTGTTGGTCTTTCTTAGTTCAATTTTTCTACATGACGAAAAACCACCGAAGCATTCCATTCTTACTCCTGGTCACAACATCATCTTCCAATCCACAGCAAACAATCTTTAACCATGTCATTCATATATATAATTAATTAAAAAATTGAGATTGACGCTTAATATATACATAATAAGAGATCACTTGTAATTTAATAGGTAAACCTTTTGATAGGATTTTTTTGTGAAAAATAAACAAGGTAATAAAGAACAACTCGTACTTACTGTATGTACCTCTTGTAAAAAAATCCTATCAAAAGGTTTACCTATTAAATTACAAGTATCTGTTATTATGTATATATTAAGCGTCAATCTCAATTTTTTAATTATTTATATTATGAATGACATGGTTAAAGATTGTTTGCTGTGGATTGGAAGATGATGTTGTGACCAGGAGTAAGAATGGAATGCTTCGGTGGTTTTTCGTCATATAGAAAAATTGAACTAAGAAAGAGCAACAAAGCAAATTTATGTTGCAAAAGTGAATGGCATAGTCGGCATGGGACGTCGTAGACGGAAGTTTAATGGTAGAGTCGGCAACGGACGCTCTTAGACGGAGGTTTATTGACCAAATTGGCGATATATTAAAGGTGGGCTAAATTAAGAGAATCTTTAACCGGCGAGCGTGTAGGTAGGTGTGTCAGGATCGTGACAAATTGAAGCCCGTAGTCTCTGCCTACCCCTCTATGTAACAGGCGTGAGTGTTAATGTTACTTGTGCTAATGTTACTAAAATATTAAAGAATACAATAAAATCACTAAATAAAAACGTACACTAAGAAATTCATTTAAAAATATTATTTATGTTAAGATAATAACTGTTGTGATTATACATGCATATAATTTTGCAAATGTTATTTATTACGTCAAAATCTGAACAAAAGTCTCATAAAAAGAAACGATAACTACAAAAACAAAAACAGAAAAGAAATTAATATGAGCAAAAGCTGGTCACGAATAAGAAAATTGGTCTCCGATCGTTGGCTACTGGCACATTCTGTGTAAGATTAAATCGTGAAAGGCCTACAGTTTTTAATTAGCTCCCTTCTTTTTATTTCCTGTTATTACTGTTTCAAATAAAGTGGAAAAAAATAAAGAAATCAATACTGACTGTAGATGAAAGCAAAGATGTTTACTTGTATAAAACAGTACATGGGTCAAGCTATTATTGTTCTCGGGTCATGGACGCTGTAGGCTTGTTTTTGAGAGTAGATCGGACACCGACGTACATTAATTTTCCAACTTGATCCATGATTATATTATGATTATTTCGGTAGATGAATAAGCGTTATTTAAGTACGAAATTTCGCTAACAATATGGTTGCGCGTGTGTGTATGTGTTATAAATTATAATTAATTATTCTGCTTGCCTCTATCCGGGTTGTTTCCTGATTAAATATAATCTCTCAGACGCGTGACGTTTAGGGAAAGATGGATTTAAATGTTGCTATCCGCGGCAGATGTATAATATGTTGCTGTAATCTAATATCATTATTAATGCATAATCATTTAAGCAAATAATGTGAGGTAAACATCATAAATTGTAAATTCCTGATGAAGGCTAGGCGACTAATGAAATATGTGTCATTATGTTTAAAACACTATAAAAGTATACTGCTGGACGTAATAATCCACTGTTATAAACTTTTATGGATAATGAGTGCATTAATTTTTTTTGTTAAAGAACTCAACCTTTTAACGAACTTTGATGAAATCTGCTTATTGCTATGATAAGCTGTTTATTTAATTAATATTATTTATTGTTAATACCATTTCCGTAAAAACCTATTAAGGTCCACTGCTAAACGTAGGCCTCCCCCATAAATTGCTTCATAGGGGGATATTTGACATAGTTGCAACGCTTGGCAAGCGGGTCGGCAAATTATTAATACGGTACTGTTTATATCTTTTTCTTCTTCTAATTCAACTCATAAAAGGCCTCTTTGACTCACAATGACGTAGGCCTCTCTAGTTGTAGGAAGGATTTGCTTCCAATCTTGGTAATGATTGGCGAACGAGTTCGAGCGAGCGAACATCAGACGTCTCGCACCTTTGACGCTGCTGCGCACAGAACACTATACTCGTACACTATTACTCCTCTGCTGCGCATCTCGATTCGGTTTTTAAGTCTAGCGTAAATGGGATGGGTGTACTGTCATCTATCGGAAGCTATGATATCTTTATAGGATCTCCCACCTTTTCTTTCACTTTCGACGCGCTAAAGGGGTTGATAGGTTGATACTACAAAAGTTTTGCAAATGTTACGGGTAATGTCCGAAACCGTGGTAAACGTAGTTTTACCCAGAGAGAAGGTAAAGTCCAAATAATAAATAAAATAACTATGACTATGATTTATATTATTTAAAAATTATTAGGACTTTACCCAAAAATCCGGGTAAACTTAGGCTTACAACTCTTTCGGGCATTACACGTAAAATAATATTATACATTATTAGTACATATTATATTACCAATATTTTTATTTAGTATATTAAGCGATAACCAATATATACACCAAAATATAAGAGATGGCAAGGTAGTAGAATTCAGGAGGTGCACATGTTAGTATTTCCAAGCATGACAATAATTCGCCGCGTGTTCAATTATGCAAGGGGCACATAACACAGGGAGGTGCCAGAGGGGACCTGAATAGCCTCTGACCCATTTACAGAGGGAACTGGTGCGAAGGCCTCCGCTTACCGGGATTTTAGCACACCATTATATACTAATAGGGTCATTACTTCTTTTATATACCTAAGCGCTGAAAATTGTTACATGTTTTGTAACATTTGCAGAGGTGACTAGAAATTAAGACTATTATTTTACGTCATATAAAGGATTGTTTTATAAAAACATATAATATATTAATTCACCTTCTCTATAAGAAGAATATGTCTTTTTAACAAAAATATTAAATTCATTCATCAATTTTTCATGTGTTCGTTCATTACTGCCGATCAAAAGTCCACCGCTGAACATAGGCCGGTTATGGAGCGTCTCATTAGGGGCCTGCCAAACGTGCCAAAGTTGCCACGTTTGGCAGGCAGTTTGGCAACCGCAAATTTTTATTATTATTTTTAAGTTGTTATTAGAAAGATACTGCCACCCATCTGTATCATTTCCCTCTGTCAGCTAAACGATACCTACGAGATGATATTATGGGGCAGTTGTATTCTCCTACGCCGCCACTACACGGTAAAAGGAATACAAATTATAAAATTTATGTCAATATCTTCATAATTTTTTAGGTTTTGCGATCCGCACCTTTTTTCTGAGGTTAATAAAAATATATAGAGAAAAAAAAAATAATTTGGTTTTTAGTTTAATCTTTATGATTGTTATATATTTCTTTCATTTTCTTTACATACTCGTATACAACATGTAACAAAAACTCTGTGTCCAAGCGTTTATACATAATTTTTTTAAACATAAGATTTTTTAAATGTGTTTTTTTCTTTTTGGAAAAAAAACGATTTCTATATGCTTGGATACTGATTCTGATAACGTAGTTAACGGGAACCACAGGGTATTTGTTACATGTTGTATATATTTTTTTAATTTATTAAATAAGCACATTCAACACACAAAAACCAGTAAGATAGGTAAGGGTAATACGGTTTTTTTTTGCGGATGGAAAATCATCTAATGACCCCTTTCGCTCTGGGTGGAGCGTAAGGGAGTGTCAGACTTTTACGACTAAAAACCATCCGTGTTCCTTCAGTGCCCTTACGTTCCGGAGCCGCGGTATCTCTTTCGAACAGCCCGCAGCCCCGGCAGGCGTTGGCCCTTACGGGCCCCTTCACGCTGCTGACAGCTCTTTGAGGCGCGCGTGGAACAAAACGCGCCGTCGACACGGCCTGTCGTCGTTAGACGGACGGACGGCGAGCTACCCATTGCTCGCCGTCCACAGGCCCGCGCCTATGGTGGCCGGGGGCCACGACGTAGCCCCCGACGCCCGGGGCGTCTCCCGCGGCGGCCGGGGAGGAAAGCTGCTGCTCTCTCCTTCTCCCGCTCCGCCACCTCCTTCGCTAGCATCACTGCTTCGCAGAAGGTGCTGACGGCATCCCATTCCGTCTCGCTCCGGACCATGGCTTCGACCAGGGCCGGACGCGTACCGACCGCGGCCAGGTACATACAATATTATGATCATTGTTTCATTATCTATCTGTCATTTAGGCGATTACTAAATAGAGCTACTTTGACACAATTCAGAATTTTT